AAAAAAAAAAAAAAAAATTCTCCTTCTTGGATCTATTATTTTGGTGGGTTTTATGTTAGTAGGTGGCTAATTTGGGATGCTGTCTGTAGAAGGTGATATATAGTTAATTGTTTCTTGGTCAAGAATTAAAACCTACGTTAAGTAAATTAACTGTCAAGAGGATTTGATAAGAGGACTGCTTCATACACTATAACCAAGACAAGTATAAAGCCAGATCCATGGGTCAGGTAAATACCAGACCCAGTGTCACATTAAGTGGTACAACTGATGTTAGGAGGGTACAATAAAAGAGAACAATATTTTTTCTTTATAGTTCCAGGGTATGACCAATACAATCAGTTCAGAATAAATTGCTAATATAGATACTGTAGTTATAATCAATTCGGTTTAAATGTTAATACACACAAGTACTCTGGGAGGCTGAGGTGGCTTGCTTGAGCTTAGGAGTTTGAGGCCAGTCTAAGCAAGAGTAAGACCTAGTCTCTACTAAAAATAGAAAAACTAGTTGGGTGTTGTGGTGAACACCTAAAATCCCAGCTACCTAGTAGGCTGAGGCAAGAGGATGGCTTGAGCCCAAGAGTTTGAGGCTGTTGTGAGCTATGATGCCACAGCATTCTACTTAGGGTGAAGGAATGATACTATCTCAAAATCAATAAATAAAAGTACCAAAAATTTTGAGACTTTACAGTTTATAACAAATCAATTTTTAAATATTTTCAAAATAATTACTACATGTAACAATCATACTATTATTTAGCTTTTAATAGCTATTTTTTTTTTTAAAGACTGGATTTTGCTGTTGCTTGGCTGTTCTCAAAGAGATCCCCGTGCCTTGGCTATGCTTAGAATCCCAACTACAGATGTGTGACACTCTGCCCAGCCCAGCTTTAGCAATTTTTAAAATATCATTGAATAAGATAACAATGAAAACAAATGACAGCCATCAGCTTTTAAAGCATGGGAAATAGTATATACGTTCTACACATAACCCGACAAACGAAGGTACCTTTAAACTGCATTTCCCATTCTCGGACACTCTCCATTTGTACTGCGTTCAAATCAGAGAGATCATCATATTCATCTCTAAGTGCATCTTTATCT